GGAGGGCGCATGCGCGCTGGGCTGGCGGGGCGGGGCCTGTCGCGCGAGGGGCGGGGCCTGTCGCGCGAGGGGCGGGCGCGGCTCCCAGGAACCTGCGCGCGGCCGGGCGGTGTTTCCCGGGGGCCGCTTGGCTGGCGGACCCGGGCGGGCGGCGCGGAAGCGGGCGGCCGTGGGACGCGCGCGGAGCCGCGCGGCGGGCGGGACCGGGCCGAGCTGGAGGGCGCGGGGGAGCGGGGCTCGGGCGGCCCCCGAGGCCCGGCGGAGCGGGCTTCTGGGGCGCCTGCGGCGGCGCCGGGGGAGCGGGCTGGGGATGGGGCGCCGAGCCGGGCGGCGGCCGGGGCCTCGGCCATGTTCGCGGGGCTGCAGGACCTGGGCGTGGCCAACGGCGAGGACCTGAAGGAGACCCTGACCAACTGCACGGAGCCGCTCAAGGCCATCGAGCAGTTCCAGGTGCGGCGCGGAGCCGGGCCGGGCGGAGGCCCCGGGGCGTCCCGGCGTTCTGGTGGCTGTCCCGAGCTGCGCCCGTTTGCGGGGCGCTGGGTGGCTTCCGGTGGCCGCGGCTGCCCCCGCACGGCCGGGCACCCCGGGGTCGTGCCCCCTGTGCCCGCAGGACTTAGGGGTGCCCGCGCGCACGGGGCGGCCGCTGACCTTTCGCTTCCGCAGACGGAGAACGGCGTGCTGCTGCCCTCTCTGCAGTCGGCCCTCCCCTTCCTGGACCTCCACGGGACGCCGCGGCTGGAGTTCCACCAGTCGGTGTTCGACGAGCTGCGGGACAAGCTCCTGGAGCGGGTGTCGGCCATCGCTTCGGAGGGGAAGGCAGAGGAAAGGTGGGTGGGCGGCCCGATGTGCGGCCGGCCTCTCAGCCCGGGATCGACTGGGGGCATGGATCCATCGATCGCGTCCTGGCTGCGCAGCCTTGCCCCCAGAGGCGGCCTGGGCTGTGTCTGAACGGCCCCTTGCCCCCCGTGGCCTGCGCGTGGCAGCCGGTGTCTGTCCGGGACGCGCAGCCCATCGCCACGCCATCAATCGTGTGAGTTGTTGCAGGTACAAGAAGCTGGAAGACCTTCTGGAGAAGAGCTTCTCCCTGGTCAAGATGCCGTCCCTGCAGCCCGTGGTGATGTGCGTCATGAAGCACCTGCCCAAGGTAGAGCCCCGACCCTGACCCGAAAACGCTGCTGGCGCTGGTGTCCAGTGAGCCGCCTGCCTGAGTGCTGTCCAAGGTGGCTCCCGTGCTGGCCTCTCCCACGTGAGCCGCGTGGAGACTGCAGCTTGGCACTGGAGTTGGGGTGCCGGGCCCCTTCTGGGAAAGAGCTGTTGGTATTTAGCACGTCTGCCTGAACCTGCTGGGACCGGGGGCCCAGTCATAGGTGCCCTGTGGGGTGGGGCGTGGCTTGAAGTGGTCTCTCGGGGGCTGAGGCTTCTTGGCTTGTCTCGAGGGAGACCCAGGGACACAGGTGCCGCTCACAGGCAGCCTGTGGTGCCGTGTAGGTTCCTGAGAAAAAGCTGAAGCTCGTGATGGCCGACAAGGAGCTGTATCGGGCCTGCGCCGTGGAGGTGAAGCGGCAGATCTGGCAAGACAACCAGGCCCTCTTCGGGGACGAGGTCTCCCCGCTGCTGAAGCAGTACATCCTGGAGAAGGAGAGCGCGCTCTTCAGCACAGAGCTCTCCGTCCTGCACAACTTCTTCAGTCCATCCCCCAAGACCAGGCGCCAGGGCGAGGTGAGAGCGGACAGGCCGCGTGCAGGGTGGGGCACCTCTTGGGGGTGCCATGGCTAGCTCCTTCAGCTACCTGGGGATCGACTGTTTGCTGCCTTGTGAATGGCCCTGGCGGGTGGCAGGGCAGGGGACTTGTGCTAGAAGGAAGGCTGGTGGTTTTTTTGTTTGTATGTATTTTACTTTTGATTAAAACCATATGTGGACAAGGTTAAAATCTGCAGAGAGGCCCGTAATGAGAAGTTACAGCACCCTCCTCTCCTCCTAAAAAGCTACTTCTGTTTGGTTCTTCACCTTTCAAGTATTTCAGTTACTTGTTGGTTGCAGTTGAGTTATTTGCTTTTTGTTCTCCAGAGGACAGCAAATCCAATGTCCTGCCTGTTAACAACGTTGGCATTATTCTAAACTCAAATTTTCTGGCGGTTTTGTTTTATTTTATTTTATTTTATTTTTTGAGACAGAGTTTCGCTCTCGTTACCCAGGCTGGAGTGCAATGGCGTGATCTCGGCTCACCGCAACCTCCGCCTCCTGGGTTCAGGCAATTCTCCTGCCTCAGCCTCCTGAGTAGCTGGGATTACAGGCACGCGCCACCATGCCCAGCTAATTTTTGTATTTTTAGTAGAGACGAGGTTTCACCTTGTTGACCAGGATGGTCTCGATCTCTTGACCTCGTGATCCACCCGCCTCGGCCTCCCAAAGTGCTGGGATTACAAGCGTGAGCCACCGCGCCCGGCCCATGGTTTTGTTTTTTGAGAAGGAGTTTCGCTCTTGTCTCCCAGGCTGAAGTGCAGTGGTGTGATCTCGGCTCACTGCGGCCTCTGCCTCCCAGGTTCAAGGTATTCTTTTGCCTCAGCCACCCCAGTTGCTGGGATTATAGTGTGTGCCATCATGCCAGCCAATTTTGTATTGGTCAGGCTGGTTTCAAACTCCTGAGCTCCAGTGATCTATCTGCCTGCCTCATCCTCCCAAAGTGTGGGGATTACAGGCATAAGCCACTGTGCAGGACTTTTTTTTTTTTTTTTTTTTTCTATTTTTGTTAAGAGACAGGGTCTCACTGTGTTGCCCAGGCTGGAGTTGTGGCGTTATCACAGCCCACTGCAGCCTTGATGTTCTGAGCTAGAGCCAGCTTCCCACCTCAGGCTCCTGAGTAGCTGGGACCACAAGCATGTGCCACCACACTGGGACTAATTAAATGTTTATTTTTGTAGAGATGGGGTCTGACTGTTGCAGTCTGGTCTCGAACTCCTGGGCTGCAGCAGTCCTCCTTCCTCAGTCTCCTGAAGTGCTGGGATTACAGACATGAGGCACCACGCCCAGTGAGATTTCTTTTTGTTTTTTGTTTTTTTTGTGAGACAGGGTCTCACTCTGTCACCCAGGTTGGAGTACAGTGGTGTGATCAAGGCTCACCGCAGCCTCCGCCCCCTGGGCTCAAGCCGTCCTCCTTCCTCAGTCTCCTAAAGTGCTGGGATTACAGACATGAGGCACCACGCCCAGTGAGATTTCTTTTTGTTTTTTGTTTTTTTGTGAGACAGGGTCTCACTCTGTCACGCAGGTTGGAGTACAGTGGTGTGATCAAGGCTCACTGCAGCCTCCGCCTCCTGGGCTCAAGCCGTCCTCCGACCTCAGTCTCTTAAGCGGCGGGAACCACAGGTGTGCGCTACCATGCCTGGTTAGTTTGTGTATTTGTTGTAGAGATGGGGTTTCACTACGTTGCCTAGGCTGGTCTCGACCTTCTGGGCTCAAGTAATCTGCCCGCCTTGGTCTCCTGAAGTGCTGAGATTATAGGTATGAGCAACTGCAACTGGTTGTGAAATTTTTGTAATTAACCATTTTTTTTTTTTTT